ATCTGAGTTGTCCTACAAATTCTAGATGGGTGGAATCTGAAGGAAACAACAGCAGCAGCCACAAGAAACTCCAGACTTTGATTCCGCCACCGATTAATTCTACAAAACATCTGTAAAGGAAAGAATGTCAATCTTACCGTCTTGCCAAGTAACATAAAAAAGGGGAAATGATTCCCATCCCATTTTATGAGGCATAAACCTTCAAGGGCATGGTAAGACATGAAATGCACAGGCCTGTCTTTCGCATAAGCACAGAGGAAGAAATCTTGAATAAAGCATTAGCAAAACAAATCAGTTAAATCTCCATAAAGGAAAACGTATCACAAACAACTCAAGACTATTCTAGAAATGAAGCGGTTCAGCCCTTGAAAATCTCTCTCTCAGAAGTAATGTGTGAAAGAGAAAAATATGATATTCCCTATGGAGGCAGAAAGGGTATTTTATGGGTTTGATTTTTTTTAAATGATCACACACTTATGATAAAACCTCTTAGCCAACTATGAATAAAAAAGAACTCTTTTGATTCCATCAGAATATCCTTTAAAATACCCTTTAAAAGCCTACAAAAACAACGATATTCATTGGTGACATGTTGACAGCTTTCCCTCTGAGAACAGGAAAAAAAAAGAAAAAAACAGATACATCCACTGTCACCACTTATAGTGCCATGAAGGAAGAAAAAGTAATCAAGGCGGTCCTGCGAGAGCAGCCTTAAATGCATACGCACGTTAACCAAAGGACATGCCTGGGAACGTGCGCCACGATAATAACACTAACACTCCAGCACTGGAAACTACTGAAATGTCCATTAGAGGTAAAAAGGCATGAACAAACTGTGGCATCGTCATGCAAATCAAAATACTGTGCAGGAATGCAAAGAAACGAAATTCAGCTACACAGCACGACAAAAGCGAATAGTTCAAAGAAAAACCTAATGTTGCCAAGAGAAACCCAGATTGTAAAATATGTACTGTAACGATTCTGCTTATATGTGATGTGTTCACAAACAGGCAGAATTACCTTCAAGTGTTCAAAGCTCAAGAGTGCTTAGATTTGCTGAGGCGGAAGAAAAGAGTGACTGGCATGAGTGTGCTTTTTGGCTGCTGGCCACACAGCACACCATTTCTTAACCCAGATCGCAGGGGATCAGACGTTCCTGTGTAACCATCTACTGAGCGGTACCCTCATTTTTTGGGCAACTCCACCTTTGCATTCTATTCCACTACAATGCACATAAAGATACTTAAATGAATAAAATCCCAGGAATGTCCATAAACAAAGGATTCTTTGGTGATTCGTATATTGTCTGACCACAATGCCACAATGGGATCTAGAAATTAATAACAAAAGATCATTACAGCCCCCCCACCCCCGTATATGTTTGTAATTTAAGAAACATCCTCCTAAGAAATCCATGGCTCTAAGAAAAACTAAGGTTGAAATAAGAAAAATTTTGAGCTTACTAATGAAGCAAGCTCCAGCAGTCTTTGCCGCCCCTATTACTAAGTCTCCTCAATGGGGAAGTTTAGATTCCACAGGAAGACTCTCCAGCATCTCTGAGAGGGGCAAGATGCCAGCAATCTGGATATCAAACTCCAGTGGAGGTAAGGGACTGAAGATTTCTGTAGACAGCAACTGGAATCCCCATGCCGGGTTAGGACGGATGCCTTCAAGCGAGCCTGAAGTTCCGACGCCCATAAATCTGCTGGTTCATGCTCTGCAGAGAGCACATTTGTCCTCCGTCTCCCAGAGTTGGGGGAGAGAGATTTGTCATCCTGGGAGGAGTTGAGAGGGATCCCCTGGGTGCCTATGTGATTTTTAGATACACTTTCTAGAGCCATCGTGAAATGTATAGCCCCCACCGCTACCAACAACGTGCAGGGATACCTGGCAATGCCAGTGTGGCAGACAGTTGGAAGGTCTGGTGAGACGGGGTAAGTCGGTTGCTTTCCGGCTGTCCCTACTGCCGGCGGATGCCAAGCTCTCTTGACACCACAGTGAGACTCCGTCTCTAAAACAGAAAAATGAACATGTAGTCCCAGCTACTCGGGAGGCTGAGGCTGGAGAATCACTTGAGCTCAGGAATTCGAGGCTGCAGGGAGCTATAATCGCACCACTGCACTCCAGCCTGGGAGACAGACAGAGTGAGAACGCCCCACACCCTCAAAAAAGATCAAGCTCTCTTAATCAGCCAAGTCAGATGTCGCCCGCCTGTCTCCTTCACACCTTCTGCTACTTTCCTTCTTTTGTCTCCTCATCCAGTTTCTTTGTCTTTAGGGGGTAAAGCCTTAAGAGGAAAGGATGCAGCCAGGAAAGAGGGACGGGGCAGAGAGGGGAGAAGTGAAGGTGAGAAAGAGAAGGGGCGACTGAAGTACGTGACCAAAGGTGCCCAGGGGAACCTGGGAGCAGGAACAAGGGTCCCTGGGCAAGTTGGAACAACCCCTCATGCTGTTTGGTCTGTTGGGTGCTCAGGTTGCAGGGAATGGGCATCCAGTTGGACTTCATGAGAACTCACACCTTGGGTTGTGGAGGGCAGGACACCGTGAGAGGAGTCCCATCCTGCTGCAAAAGGTAGAAGGGGACAGTTGCCCCCAGCATAAAATGGAAGGCAGAGGATGGTAGATGGCAGAACGAGAGCTAGCATCAATGACATTTTCTTCACTGAGCCCACCACAGAAATGAGCTCCCTTCCTGGGCGCTCTCACAGCCCCTTGCCCTTGAACCTCACATCACTGATGGCAATTTGCAGAGGAATGATTAAGTCGGTGATTCACTTTAGGACGCGGTGCCCTCCGAAGCTGAAGCTAAACACACAAGGCCCACGTTAGGCCCAGTACCATGGAAGGAACTAAGGATTAGTCACCGGGTAAGTACCTGGCGGGGGAGGTGGGGGAGCGGGCACGCTGAGGAGAGAGAATGGCATAGAGAGAAGGAAAAAGCAAAACGAGGGGAAAACCGGGGAGGACAACATGAGAAAGGAAAGAGGGAGAGGAAGGGCAGCCAGGGATATGGGAACTCGGAGGGAGGACAAAGGGACAGACAAAGCATGGAGGAGAGAGGGCAGAGAGGGGAGATGAGGGGTGATGACGGAGGCTGAAGTGAGGTAGGAAGAGAGAGGAAAGAGGGAAGGAGTGTAGAGGAAATGAATGAGGGAGTAAAGAAAAAGAAACAAGGGGAGAGGTCCTTTACAAAGGGTGATAGATGAGGAAGGGGCAAGATGAAGGGGCAGTGAGGGAGAAAGGGTAAGGAGGAGAAAACTGCCAGCTTTGGGAACTCTACCCTGCCACGGGAAAGAGGGGATTCCATCCCACGTCAGCCTGGGGCTCCCTGTGGGACAGCTCTGGCCTGCTGCACGTGTCATTCAGGGCTTCCCACGCAAACAGGGGGACCGGTCACATCGACAGCCACCTCTGCCGAATGCAAGCTCTGCACCAGATCCTCCTTTCCCCTGGCAGGTACGGGTTTCAACTAGCAAGTTTAAGGGACTCACTCCCCTTCCTGGGATTCCTCCCTGACTACACCAGTTGCAACTACTTTCATGGTTATGGAGACCTGGCCTCTCCCACAAGAACCCTCTGGGCCAGCCAGTGTGATGCACTGTACATCATATCTGTTCAGGATGAAGCGCGAGCGGCGCGCGCGCCGCGTGTGTGTGTGTGTGTGTGTACTAATAATTGCAGGGATCAATATATCTGTGGGAGTTGTGAATTGTTTCCATGTGACTGCCTTGCTAGAATCCTCTCCCCCAGGGGCCTTTATTTCAAGGACCAACTCTGCTTTTCTCCACAGCCCAATGAATGCATCAGACACTCAGCTTCAGTTCCCATGGCAACAGGGGCTAACGGTCTAGGGACTAAGGATGAGACAAAGAGAAACGCAGAGAAATGTACGTGTTCTGTCTTCCTCTGAGGTACACAAGCCCCTGTTCAGGGATTGAAAAGAACATCACTTTAGTTCTACCCTGCCCTCCCCTGAATGCTCGGTGGAGGAGGACAGAAACGAAGATGGGCCCAACATGAATCCAGAATGTCTCCATCCTCTAAATGCACTTGCGTGGTTGGAGACAGACTTCCTAGTCCCCGAGCCACCATGTTACCAGCAATGTATTGTACCTGTAAACCATGCCTGTGGAACCTAGGATTCCTGCTACCCCAACTCGCTTCCCTCTTTCCCACCCTCTAGCCTCTACCGTAGTAGGGGAGTTTTTTTTTTTTTTTTTTTTTTTTTTAAGTCATACCAATGTTCTGACAGAAGGAAAATTTCAGCCAGCCCAATTTCAGAAATGCTGTCTCAGAAGGGTTCCCCGATCCTTCCCGCCAGAGTCACACAGGACACACCGGTCTCTCTTCTCCTCAGTGGCCTGGGAGTCCTCAGCCCAGACCATGGGACCAGTTCCTAGGGCTCCCCCTTCCTGCCACACTCCTGTTCTGCCAGGGCCTTGGGGAGACTCAGAGGAGGGACGGTTTTGATAGTCTCCCACTTCTGCAGGTGGCCAAACTAATGAGAGTCCTGTTCCCTGCCCGTCCTCCTGAGCAGCCCACCGCGTCCTGTGTATTGGCTTCCCTTACCAGAGGCTGGACAAACAGGGTGCCAGGCGGGACATGAGACATCCTACACTGAATTTGTGAAAAATGGCAACTCAAAAGCTGGGCATAGGCCCCCAACTCCCTTCCCTTCCTTGCATTGATTCCAGTGACTCTCTGAAGTCCCTTTCTCCACCTGCATTCTCCTCTCCTGGGCCCGGCTGCCCACCATTTTCCATGTCCTGTAACCCCTCAGTTCAAAATATCCAAGTGAGCTCGTCTTTACTGCAGTGGAGCAACCCACAACAACACCCATGCCCCACACCAGAAGGAACCACAGGAAGGTCTTCCCACCTTCCCGACCCCCATGGACATTAGGGGATGTCCAGTCTCCTTTTGGTCAGGGGGTTTGTCTCACATGCCCTGCTCAGTACCCACCTGCCAGTGACTCCCCTGTGGTTCACAGCCTCTCAGGGGAGCTCAAATCCACTCGGCTGCTGGTCTCTGTCTGGATGACCATGACCAATTTCCCTTGGAGAAGTACCCATGGGGAATGGCAATGCCAGGGTGGCAGCGCTTCGCTTCAACTGCTCTGCTCCTTAAATCCCCAACAGTACCACTCACAGGACTGTAGAGGTTACGCCAGTTACAGATTCCAATGAAGGGTCAGTAGTGACTACATGAAATTACAGTGGAACAAACTATTAGTGAGCGATGGCTAAGTATTCGTGCTTCTGGAATCCAAAAAGAACCACCATCCCCTGCCTCCCACGGAAAAGATAAGGTCTTCTGAGGACATTCCATTTCAGGGGAATCCCTGTTCGTGGCTTTTCCTCCTGTTTTGAGCACCGCCCTTTTATCTTCCTGGAAAGGAGAAAGTCTCCTCCATTAACCTGCTTCATTGCAGGGATTTCTTTATGTCTCAATAATGGGATCTGTCTATGTCTCCAGCTCCCTGTGAACATATGAACACACAGAGACAATCACCCAAACACTAAGGAGCTATGAGTGTCCCATCATTATCCTCATCCAGCTCTGTGCAGTGGCTCACACCTATAACCCCAGCTATGCAGGACACTGGGGCAGGAGGATTCTCCGAGGCCAGGAGTTGGACACGAGCCTGGTCAATGTAGCGAGACCTCATCTCCAAAGAAACAAAACAGGAAACCTTAGCGGTATATGGCTGTGATCTCAGCTACTCCAGAGGTTGATGCAGGAGGATGACTTGAGCCCAGGAGTTCGAGGCTGCAGTGAGTTATGACAGCACCACTGGACAGAGCTTTGGGAGACTCCACTTTGAAGCCAGGAGTTCAGGATGAGTTTGTGCATCACAGCAAGACCCCGCCTGCAGAAATAAAAATCAAAATGTTAAAAAATTTAAAAATATGTCTGACAAATACCTTTCTCAAAATTTGAATTTGTCAGTGTACATTAGCCTTCGTTACTCAGCCGGCTCCTATAGACTTCAGACTTCATTTCCTCATCCTCTGGACATCTCTGCCCTGCCAATCCCTCATTCTCAATTTGGCCATCCCTGCGGATGGAGGTTATCAGCACGGCTTTAACTGAGAGCCTGAATCACGGGGCTGGTCGCCCATATTTTTAACAAAGCCAGCTTCTCTGTTTGATCCCATCTTTACCCCTCACCCTTTCACAGTTTGAATTCCTGCAGATATCCACTGTTTCTCTGCATCTTCAAAATCTCTTGCTCCAGTGCTTATTCCCATCAGCGTACAATTACGCTCCACCGTCCTCCATGGTAAACAAGCACCTTCCCTTGGCCACCCTTCCCCCCAGCTGTTCTCTCACGTACCTGCTGCCCTTCACAGCAAAACTTTTCTGGCGAGTTGTTGGAACAGGTTGCCACCACTTCCTCATCTCCATCTCCAATGTCTTGCATGGCCTTCTGTCCTCCAAATATGCTTTCTTCATGCTCTTTAGTAACTTTCATACTGTCAATCCAATTATCATCCTCTGACTTGGCTTGCCCTCCTGGTAGCATTGAACATGCTGTCCACTGCCAGTCTCTTCAAATAGTGTGGATTCAAGAGAAACCCAAGTAAACATTCCACGAAACCATTGTCTTCTGGTGATCCTTCAGGGTAGATCGATTCTTTGAGTTATTTCCCGGCTCCTCTTCCTCTTTTTTGCTGCTATGCTCCAGATTGTGGCTTTGTTTCCTCCTTTTCTACATTTTCTCTCTAAGAAATTTCCTTTCACTTCATAGATGTAAATAACACCTACATCTGCCACCTCCTGTATCCATCAGTAGGTTTGATTACAAACAACAGAAAAACTCACGGTTGCTCAACCGAAAAGGAACCTGATGTGAGAATATCAGGTGCACATGGAGCCAATAAGAGGACTGCATATCCAGGATCGGAAAGCAGGCGGTATCCATGGGAGTCTGAGACAGAAACACACGAAGGTCACGCCTGAGAAATAGCTGTTTTCACATTGTTCTTGCAACCTTGCTGCTCTGCCAGTGAGGTCGCTTGGAAACCTCCACCGCATTGATGCTTTTCAGCCTTCTGGAAGTCTTCGTACGGGTTTCGTTTGTAATAACTCAAAAAGATCCCTCCAACTTGTATCCTAAACGTATTATCAGTACGTACGTTAACTCAGGAATACTTATGAACATTTTTAATTTCTCCAGAGATTCTTTCCTCCTTCATTCAAAGAAACAGCTTTATTGAGATACAATTCAGATACCACAAATTTCACCGTTTAAAGTGTACAGTGCAGTGTTGTGAGTATATTCAAAGGTGGAGCAACTCCCATTCTGTAGGTGGCCTTTTCACTGTGTCGATTGCTTCATTCGGTTCAACGTAGGATTTTGGTTAGACGTAATCTCTCCTGTCTAAAGTGGCTTTTTGTTGCTTGTGCTTTTTGTCATATTAAGAAGTAATTTCCAAGACAAACGCCATGGAACTTTCACCTATGTTCTCTTCTAGGAGATTTATGGGAAAAGAGTTTGAAAAGGATAGCTATGCACTGCCATGTGTGTACCTACGAAACTGTCTTGCATGCTCTGCTCATGTACCCAAAACCTAAAATCCAATAAAAACTAAAAAAAAAAAGAAAAGGATAGCTATGATAAGTGATAATATCCAAGCTATACAAGGAACTCCTACAACTCAATGCCAAAAAAGACGACAACAAACTGACTAAAGAATGGGCAAAAGACTCGAATAACGTTTCTCCAAAGAGGATGCAGGAATGCCCAACAGTAATAAAGAAGTGCCCAAGATCACTAATCAGAGAAATGCAAATCAAAACCACAATGAGGTATCAGCTCACACTTTGAAATATTATCAAAGAAAGCAAAAGATAACAAGTGTTGGAGAAGATGTAGAAAAATTCCAACCCAGGCACACGGGAGTAGGCATGTAAACCGTGCAGCCACTGGGAGTACGCCAGAGTGGCTCCTCAAAAAATTCAAAATGGAACTAGTATGTGATCTGGAAATCCCACTGTTGAGTATATATCCAAAAGGATTGAAATCTGGGCCTTGAAGCCATGTATGGACTCCCACCTTTATTGAAGCATTACATCAACAGTCAAGATCAAAAACAATATGGAAACAACCTAAATGTTTATCAGCAGGTGAATGGATAGGTAAAATGTGGTATACATAAAATCGCACATTATTCAGCCTCCATGAAGAAGGAATTCCTGCCAACACACACAAATATTGCGGGTTCTAATTATTTCAGCTATCTAAAGCAATCAAGCTCCAAAAACAGGAGTGCAATGTCGGCTGCTTGAACGGGAGGGAGGGGGGGAGAAACAGGAGTTGCTATTATGTGTGTATAAAGTTTCCATTGTGCAAGAGAACACATTACTGGGACCTGCTGTGCAATCCTGTGCCTATGGGTACAATATGGTATTATGTACTGAAAATGTATTGAGGGCAGATCTCATGTTCGTGTTCTTACCACAATAAAATGAAAAAAAATAATAAACCAAAAAAGTCGTGCAACTAACAAAACCTTGTAATTTAAGAATTTTTTTATTGCATTTTAGGTGGGGGTACATGTGCAGAACATGCAGGATAGTTGCATGGTATACACGTGGCAGTGTGCTTTGCTGCCTTCCTCCCTTCACCCACATCTGGCATTTCTCCCCATGCTATCCCTCCCAGCTCCCCCCCGCCTGTTCCCCCAATAGACCCAGTGTGTAGTGCTCCCTTCCCTGTGTCCACGTGTTCTCATTGTTATCACCCGCCTATGAGTGAGAATATGCGGTATTTCATTTTCTTTCTTGTGTCAGTTTGCTGAGAATGATGTTCTCCAGATTCATCCATGTCCCTACAAAGGACAGGAATCATCGTTTTTGATTGCTGCATAATATTCCATGGTGTAATATGTGCCACATTTTCCCAGTCCAGTCTATCATCGATGGGCATTTGGGTTGGTTCCAGGTCTTTGCTATTGTAAACAGTGCTGCATGAACATTGGTGTGCATGTGTCCTTATAGAGAACGATTTATAGCCTTTGGATATATACCCAGTAATGGGATTGCTGGGTCAAATGGAATTTCTACTTCTTTTATTTTTATTTTTTATTTTTATATTTATTGCATTTTAGGTTTTGGGGTACATGAGCAGAGCATGCAAGACAGTTGCGTAGGTACACATGGCAGTGTGCTTTGCTTCCTTTCCCCTTCACCCACTTGGCATTTCTCCCCAGGTTATCCCCCACACCTCCCTCCCACTGCCTTCCCCTTTTCCCCCCAATAGACCCCAGTGTTTAGTACCTCCCCTTTCTGTGTCCATGTGTTCTCATTTTTCATCACCCACCTAGAGTGAGAATATGCGGTTGTTTCATTTTCTGTTCTTGTGTCAGTTTGCTGAGGATGATGTTCTCCAGATTCATCCATGTCCCTACAAACGACACGAAACTCATCATTTCTGATTGCTGCATAATATTCCATGGTGTATATGTGCCACATTTTTCCAATCAGTCTATTATCAATGGGCATTTGGGTTGATTCAGGTCTTTGCTATTGTAACAGTGCTGCAAGAACATTCGTGTACATGTGTCCTTATAGTAGAACGATTTATAGTCTCTTGGATATATACCAGTAATGGGATTGCTGGGTCAAATGGAATTTCTATTTCTAAGGCCTTGAGGAATCGCCACACTGTTCCACAAGTTGAAAAATTACACTCCCACCAACAGTGTAAAGGGTTCCTTTTTCTCCACATCCTCCAGCATCTGTTGTCTCCAGATTTTTTAATGATCGCCATTCTAACTGGCGTGAGATGGTATCTCAATGTGGTTTTGATTTGCATCTCTCGATGACCAGTGACGATGCGCATGTTGTCATAGGTTGTTGGCCTCATATAGGTCTCTTCTTTCGTAAAGTGTCTGTTCATATCCCACCCACTTTGGAATGGGCTTGTTTTGTTTTTTTCCTGTAAATCTTTGAGTTTCTTTGTAAATTCGGGATATCAGCTCTTTGTCAGAGGGGTAAACTGCAAAAATTTCCCATTCGTGGTTGCGAGTCACTCTAGTGACTGTTTCTTTTGCCATGCAAAAAAAGGGAAGCTGTGAGTTTCATTAGGTCCATT